GCAGCGCTGCAGGAGCAGCTGGTGAGGACCGGGCCCGGGCGCGTGGGGCGGGCCGGTGGGCTGCAGGGGCCACGGAGGGACGTGCTTGCGGACTGAGTCGGGACTGGAGGCCCGCTGCCTGGAGCCTCGGCCGGCGCGCGGCGGGTCACCACCCCGACAGTGGCCGGGGACACTGCACGCCCGCCGCAGACAGGCTCGGGGATGCGTCCCTGCTCCAGTCGCACTGCTGTTCTGAGTGCGCTGACTCGATTTCCCCCGGCGGGAGTCTCCTCGAGGTGGGGGTGCTGGCATCATACTCCCGGGTACCAGGTCCTCCCTGCTGCCTTGGTTTAGGGACAACAGGGTTGGCGTGGAGAGGGCACCGCCGCCTGTCCTCAGCAATATGGTCAGGTTGAATAGGGTCGGGTCATGGTAACAAATCTGATGGTGGCTTCTTCAACTTTAAAATGTAACCTGATCTGTAAAAAGAGGTGTGTCCTCTGATCAGACAGGCGCTGGGAGAGGGGAACCCTTCGTGCTTTCTCTGCCATTGTCTTTCTCAGGGCTGCTTGGGCCCCTCCAAACGCCAGTTCCTCTGTGTACAGTTGAAGATATTCCAGTTACTTCTCTTGTGGTTATTACTCCGATGGATGATTTCATTTAACTTATTGGAAACAACTCAAAAGAGTTTTTGCAGAACTGCAGTGGTTTTCTTTTCTTTTTTTTTAATGCTGCAGAAAGATGCATGAGTGACCGACCTCTGTTACTGTAAAGTGGAATTTCTTTTACATTAGAAATTCAAATCTGTTCTGTTAAAAGTTGCTGTTTTCTAAAAGTCACCCAGATGAAGCTGCAGCAATGATCAGCTTCTCTCAGTCGTGTTGTTAATTTAGTAAATGCTTCTGGATTAAAGAATCAATTGGGAGGTCCAGTGTCTGGACATGGCTCCCAGGATTCCTGATTGCTCCCCACATAGTCGAAGACAGAGGTGGAAGACGGGATGGGAATAACCTGGACCCTGACTCCGCAGCCTCTCGCTCTGTGGGTGGATCAGCTGCCACCTGGGAGAGGGACAGGAGAGGGACATAGCTGGCAATGAGCAGAACTTTCGTGCCTTGTCCTTGTGGTCGGGTTGTTTGTGCTTTTGCAGCCGGACACAATCTTACCTTCTGCAAGACCTCAGCTAGGCACACGATAGTCTGCAGACAGTTGCACGTATGTGACAGAGGAGCTGCTGGCATGCTGGCGTGAACGGTTCTGTCAAGGGGTAGGAGCACAGTTGATGATTAACTTGGCCTAAGTAATGTACAAATCAAACCCGTGAGTGCTCACCTCTAATTACAAGTAGCCTTTTGGAAGATCAAACAGGTTTTTTGTTTAATTTTTTTTTTTTTTTTATGTGGGGACCAGAAGGAACACGCAGACTTTGTCTTGAAACTTTGTTCTTGAGCGGATTATGTGATCAAAAGAGGAGAGTAATTGAGTTTGTGTGACATCAGCCAGCACTGAGCACTTCTGCATTTTTCTTACAGGGAAAGCATTAGGGGTGATACTAGTTCTGTGAAGAAGAATGCAGTCAAGAGGCATTGGTCGCCAGGATGCCATCATGGTGACACACTCCGCTAACTCCCGGTTAACTCAGGGCGCCCCTCCCCCACACCCTGGTGTTCACCTGGCCATCAGTCATTATCCAGGTGTGAATACAGGAAGAACGTTTATCTGACCCTCAGCAGCTTTGCCCTGCAGGAATTCTCAAGTGAGAATGAGCTGGAGCACTTCTAGGGATTTCAGCTGTTGTCAGGAACACAGCATTCGGCATTCGGCACATTATCTGAAAGTGCTGTGCCCTTCCAACTGCCCTGTGAAAAGTCACAAAAGAGAGCGCAGCTGTAGGTGCTTAGTGAGATTTTGTTGAATAAACACACGAGTGACTTATTGCTGGAGCAGAAGGGAAGATGATTTCAGTCTGCAGGATCTCCTTGTTGTAGATTTCTGAGCTGATGAAATGCCTGTGCCCCCGAACCGAGCACTCTGGTCTGTCTGGCCAGGTGGGCTGAGCTGACTCTGCTTACTTGTTCATGATTTCAAGGGAATTTGTCATTCCCCAAGAAGTGGCTGGCATTTCCACTTTCACAAGCGTTGAGTCCCCAACAACTTTAGAATAGGAAGGCTTCATCCAGCCCTGGCAGTCCGTGCCTGAGAGTGGTCTGACAAGGCCGTCCCCTACCACGTGCTGCTGCATCGGTGGGGGTGCCCTCACGTGGGAAGCAAAGAAAGGGCCATGGGTATTCAGCGATGAAATCTCATCCTGAAGAATTTCCAGGTTGCTGATTTTGCGGGTCACGACTTGTTCTAAAAGTGGCAGCTTGCAACAGTTCCTTTCCACGGGCAGGTTCCAGCGTCGAACACCACAAGAGCAAGCTGTGGGTGTGATTGTGCAGCTGTAAACATGATGCCTGGTGTTTTCCTTGGACGACTGTGCTCCCTGCTTTGTGAACACCCAGAAAAAAAGGGCAGCAGGGAGAACTTGTGCAAGGTCAGGGCCAGGCACCCGCGGGCCCCCAAGGCTTCCTGTGCTCTTCCTCATGCTCAGTCAGTAATGCTTGTTATCCATGAGCCCAATCTGTGAACCTGGGGCCCCTTGGCTACTGACTGATGGACCTCTTTTAAGCTTAGGTGGTAACATTTGCCCCCTCGAGGACAGAGGTGACAGCCATGGAATTCATGCATAAAATGTTTCCTTTGTACATTCTTAGCTTTCAAGGAAAGAAAGGAGGTGTTGTAGATACCATCTCTGTATCCTGAACTTCAGGGCTTTTTTCACTTTTGTCCTCTGGATAGCCATAAAGGTTCTGCAGTTTCTGGAAAGCTGAATTGTCATGGGGGAAGCAAAGCAAACGGAAATCAGATCATTCTCTTGTGGTATATAAAGCAAGCATTTCAAAGAAAGGGATCAGCTAAGTATTTTTGTTTGTCCTGGCTCCACCTGGAATAGAAGTTCTCAAACCATTCTGTGTTCATAAGAAACTTCTGTGGTCCTGGAGAGTCTTGCTCAATTGTAGGTTCCTTGGCCAGAGAGTCTGGGCGGGTGCAGGGCACAGAGCCTGGGATCTGCAGGTACACATCACAGACCTCCCACCTGGGACCTTGCTGTGGGCCTCACAGGACACCCCTACCCCTTACCCATCTTCAGGGGATTTTGACACAAGTGTACCCAGAATTCACCTTGAGAAACACCATCCTGAAGTGAGCCTGAAGACTTGCAGAGCGGAGGGGTGGCCTGAGGTGGCCTCAGGGTCGCTGTGGTGGAGTTGGTCTGCCTGCAGAAATGCATGGAGACTGGCACTCTGGGGCCAGCTTGGCAGCAGACTGCACTCGATCCTGGTCACATAGTGACCTTTGACTACGAACACAAAGTTTGACACAAAGAAAGAGTTAATGAAAAGCACAGGAACATAACGGCCCAGTTAGGGACAATAGGAAGGGTTAAGAAGGGTGGTATAAATCCTGAATGGTGCAGTCCTGTGGACCAGCAGACAGGTCCTGAGCATGTAGTAAATGATCTGTGAATAACTGAGAGCCCCTTGCGTCCTGCGGCCCCTCAGCCATTAATCAGAAGCCAGCAACTAAAGGCCTGCTGGCAAACATTAATCACAAAGCAATTAACCCCAACACAAACACACAGGGCAATATTTTTTATTTTGGAGGGGGCTGCAGATGGAGGGAAGGAGCCAGTGGGGGGTTCGGAGGGGCCTCCGCCTTCAGAAGACAGAGAAAACCGTGATTTGCGTGAGAAGCCAGCAGCCAAACAGATGTTCTTAAACACTGAATTGTCTTCTAACACAGAAAATTTTCTGTTGGTGTCGTGGTTTTGTTTTATGACAGGAAAAGAAAAAAATCATTTGCAGTTAAGAATACACTCTGGCTCCTTTGTGTGAATCTAAGTGTAGTTTTTACACAGATGGTGACTGGACTGAGACTATCTTTCCATGCTACACTGGCTTTTTCTGGTAGTGTTGTTCACTTGGGCGACGTTTTACCTTTTTAAACACATGCACGGTAAGAAGCCAGTCTGTCTAGGCTAGTCTGGTGGTTCTGGGAGCAAAACGTTCTGGTTAAATTCAGGACTGGTGTTTGCAATGTTCACACTTACAGATCGTCTTATGGCTTTAGTACTCGGTTACTGTGCAAACCGTGGAAGTTGTCCCGAGACCCTGCCTGGGGTCATGGACGAGCTGTCCTGCACCCACATGGTGCCAGGCTGGGCCAGGGCCAGGCGACTCCCCTCACCCCTGGTGATGTCAGTCACTCAGGTTTGAAAAATCTGTGCAGATGTTATTCTCTGCACAGAGACGTTATTCTCTTCACAATAATTTCCTGTTAGGAAAATCATTATGGTAGGAAATTATTGCTACCTGCTTTTCTCTTATAATGATTTCTCATATTATTGAAATTACTGCCATAATTTCCCTGAGTCCATAATTTGGGGCTTAGGGGAATTCCTCATTTCCTATGTCCAAATTTGAAATGTAATTAATCACTTTCTTAAACAGGACAAACCACATAATTACATTCATTAATTATTTGCCTTAAGCTTAATCATTAATCAAAACAAGAAATTTATGCAGTGAATCTGAAAACAGGGTGAAGTTTTATAATTGAAAGAAAGAAATTGTCATTTATTAAACACTCAGTGCAAGTCTTACATGTATGTTATTTATGTGTGTGTGTATATATATCGTGCCCATTTTATACACACACACACACAGTTGTGTGGTTAACGCTCATAAGAACCCATTTTAGAGTTGGGGCAGCTGAGGTCGGGAGGTGCAGCATCCCGGGGCAGAGCTGTGAAGGCGGATGTCCAGGCCGCGCCTTTCCCAGGCAAAGCCCATGTTCCCATCTCCTGCAGCGCCCCGTCCCCTTGCAGGGAGCCTCTTCCCTGATGTCTTTACCAAAACCTGCCACAGTGCGAGACACTGCTTGTAATACCAGGGAGGGAGAAGGGAGTTGATCCACAGAAAGGGAGGCCTTTTTCTTTCCCACCCCCTCAAAAAGTCGAAGGTCAGCACCGCCCCGGAGCCACCAACCTGGGGCAGCTGGTGAGAGAATGTGGTGACCGAAGACAGGAGACAGGAGGAGCGTGGGCCTGGGAGTAAAATCTTGCATGGACTGGCAAACAGTGAAATAAACCGTGACAGTGTTACTGTGGTACCGGCAGGAGCAGGTGCTGTTCTGTGATGCTTTTGATCCTGATTTCACTCTCCTGAGCTGTGTTATTCTGCGTCCGTATAGAGGCACGTCTAATAGAAAATTGCGGATAAATAGTCTGTGACTAGAGAAAAAACCCATGGGGGAGGGAAGAGACTTTATTTTCTTTCTGTGCCCATAGAGCAGGGAAAGTGCCTCCGTGAGGCAGAAGCGGCTGTCAGATTGAGGAGATGTGTTTCAAGTGGGCATTTGGAGCATGAAGTGTGTCCGTAGTGGGCACATTTGCACCGTCGACCTCACGTCTTGATGTCCATGCTTGCAGCATGTTTATTTCTCACCCTCTCCCTTCGCAGTCCCGGCTGAGACAGCAGGACGCTGGTCTGAAGACCCACTTGGACCAGCTGGACCAGCAGATTAGCGCGCTGCAGCTGGGAGTGTGCCGGTCGGCGGGCGAGGCCCCGGACAGCGACAGCAGGCCCAGCTCAGGTACCTCCTGCTGCCCTCGGTGCACCCATGGCCAGAGCGGCATTTGTGAAGGGACACGGTCCAGCTCCCTGTTCTTCAAGTGGCAATGCTCTCGGGGTCTGGAGTCATGAGCAGGGCCCCCGCCTGCTTTCTCAGGCTGGTCTGAAAGTTGCGAGTCTGCAGATAAGCCTGGAAAAGCAACATCACTGAGGGATACTGAGAACGAGATGCTTTCATTTAACTGTATTTTTTTAAAGGAGCATGTTTATATATGTATATATATTCTTGTTTTTAGTTGGAAAAGTGTTGCTTTTGATGGGAAAAAACCCCATGCATTTCTCACCTCTTTTTGGACAGAGACAGATTGTCAGTTCTGATTGTGCTGGATGAACATGGAGATTGTAAATAACCACTTTATGGGACAACAAAAATATGTATTTTTAAATCTATGGGTTTAAATTGGTGTAAAATCTGCATAATTTGTCAGGAAAGATGATAGGAATCCGTTTCCTCCCATGCCACCCCATGTGCCCCATTTAAAGGGCCCAGCAAGCGATACTTACAGTGATTGCTGAGGTCTGTGGTCCTGGTTCCTTTTGCTTTTTATCTAACATTCTCCAAGCAACACTTAGAAACAAGGTTTCTCTTTCCAGATCAATCACACTGGTCAGAACCCGGATCAGATGGCAGCCTGGGAGACAGTGTAATCATGCATCGTCTGCTGTTTCTTCCTTATTTTTGGTTTGCAAAACCACATAATGGTCTAGGTTGTGTTATTTCTCTAGCATGCACAGGGGCTGAAGGACCCCCCTAAACTGCTCCCTTCTCTGGTGCTGCCTCAGGCTGACTTGGCAGGAAGCAGGAGGGGAAGAGAAGGATTTCAAGGCCAGTCCTGAAGGGGCTGCAGCTGGTGGAAGAGGCCGCTCTCAGCCAGGCCACAGCCATGCAGAGCTAAACCAGCCACCTACCAAGGAAGGGTGGGGGTGACACAGTTCCAGCCCACCCACTGACCAATGCAGACACTTCCTGGGAAGAAACCTGAACGTTTCCGCCCAGGGCCCCACTCTTCCAGGCCCGCGTCGTCCAAAACATCCCACAGCCTCCCTGCAGCCTTGGCTCAGGGGCTCTCTAAGCGGCCCACCCCCCATGCCATGGCAAGCAGAAGCGAGCAGGGGTCCTGGGGCTCCTCAGGGTGGGCATCCACCTTCTGGGTGTGCACTGACCTCCCGTTTGTTCTGTCCAGGATTTTACGAGCTGAGTGACGCTGGCTCCTGCTCCCTGTCCACCTCGTGCGCCTCTGTCTGCAGTGACCACATCTCCCCTTCCCTGGGCAGTTTGCTGCCTGTGGCCCAGCCCCCCAAGGCCAGGCCCAGCACGGGGGACTGGCGACCCCGGTCAGCTGATGAGACCACTGTGCCAGCGTGGAGACCCCAGGCCAGTGAGGAGGGCAGCAGGCCCCTGGGCAGCATAGTGGATGCAGGCTGGACGCGGGGCACGTTCAGGCCCAGGCCGGTGTCTACAGGTGAGGGACAGCCAGGAAGGGGTGGGGGTCTCGCCTGAGGCCTGTGGGGGACAAGGGCAGAGTGCAGCCCCACCCAGCCCTTCCAAGGACAGCAGGGAGATCCCCCATGGAACGCACTCTGTAGGCGCCAACCAGACTAATGCCACCGGGCATTTCCCGCAGGCCTTTCAGTCTTTTCAGATGAAGGTAGAAATCAAATACTTGCTCAGTGCATTATAGCCAGGCTATTCTAATAAAAAGCATTCTTCTTATTTAAAATAGACATCAGAAAGTTAAATAAGATCCTTCAGAAACCCTTGATCTGTTCGTATTTGGAGTGCGAATGTTGTCTGTGAATAGCGATCACTTGGATTCCACTCTGGGCCTCGGGAAGAACTTTAGTTGTCTTCAGACTGTCGTAAAAGGAAAGTTGTCATTTCTGGTCCCATTTTCTTTCTAATACAAGACCTGGTTTAGTAACAACAATTTGGTCTTTTCCTGGTGAGAGTCTCCACATGGACTCTCTGGGCGGCTGCAGAGCTGGGAGAGGTGAGGGCCCTGAACTGACAGGCTCTCAGCCAGATGCACTGAGCCTACCACGCCTCATGTAAGCGGCCAGTGCAAGTGGCTGGGTCACTGCTGGCTCCAGCCGGCCATCTGAGCTCCTCGGAGCAGTAAGTGAGCGGAGCTCCCCTGCTGGTGCCACGGGCAAAACGAAACCAACCGCACCTTAAATTCTTACTGACGTATGCACTGTTCGTCTCCTCATTCCTAGGTGACCTGGACAGAGTCCTGCCAGCCGATACAGAGCTCCAGCCCACCTCCTTCCTCAGCCAAGGAACAGACACCCTGTCCTATGTGCTCGACCCCAAGTATCAGCGTGACCTGGTGTCCAAGGGTGGCAGGGAGGTGTACCCGTACCCCAGTCCCCTGCACGCCGTGGCTTTGCAGAGCCCCCTGTTTGCTCTGACTAAGGAGGCACCACACAGTGATGGCCCCTCGCCCCCCAGGAAACCCCTTCTGGGCCCCACAGGTCTCAGCAGGATCCATATGGGATCGGTCCTTGAGACTGGCCCCGCCAGAGCTTATATTGACAGGCTGCTGCATCTGCGGAGCCAAGGGATGCCCCCAAAAGGCAGTGTGGGTGAGCAGGGACCCCCAAGATGTGAGGCACCCCCATCCCCACCAAAGCAGGGTGTCCAGAGAATGGACAGTGGTGGTCAACTTGAGAAGCTGGTTTGCACCCCAGAAAGAGAGGGCCTGGGAGGGACAGCTCAGAGGAGGGACACCAGGGGGGACAGCCCAGAGCAGCAGGGACCTGTGCCCCTCATGGGCACCCAGCACCCCAGCAGCCTTCCAGGGAAGGGGCCTCAGCCCTCTCCCTGTTCCCAGGCCCAGTTGCCGACTTGTGACTGTGGGAGAGGCAAAGTTGTGTCGCCACTCAGGAGGACAGACAACGGGAGCCCCCCTCTGGCCTCAGGTCACTTTGTCCTCCTGCCCTTTGCTGCCAGGGAAGCTTCCCCAGTGAGGCTGAGAACAGGCCACCCCAAGACAAAGGCTATGAGAACCAAGAGGAGGGCCAGCGACAAGGTGCTGAGGTTTGGGAAGCAGCCACTGCCACTGGCACCAGAGAGACAGAGGGGTGCCCGTATAGCCCTCCAGCTGGCCCCTGAGTGGGTCCCTTCCCACAGGCCCCAGGTGGGAGGCGGGCTCAGGAGGAGGCCCACCCTGGCCGGGGTGGCTCCTGGGCGGTCCTGCTCTGAGTCCACCCTCTACCCCGTGCCCTTCTTCGTCCCCCTGGTGGTGGCCCGGCAGGACAGTTGCCAGGCATCAGCACAAGCCCTGTTCCCCTTTGGACCAGCCGTCCTGAGCCCGGCAGCTGGGAAGCAGCAGCGCAGGTGGCAGTCCGCCGTGGAGATCTCCGCCAGGGCCCGCCCGCCCGGCCGCCCTGATCCCCCGGCCCGCAGCGCAGGTGGCCCGCAAGCCCCGAGCCAGCGGATGCTGGTGCGCCAGGACGCCTGCACCGGGAGCGAGTCGGGGTGCTCGGAGCGCTCGGCCCTGGCTGAGAGCAGCGAGGACGAGGCCAGCGACCACACCGCCAACCGCTTCGGGGACCAGGAGTCCAGTGGCTCCAGCTCCGAGGGCGCCGTCCAGGGTGGCGGTGTGGGCCCCAGGGAGCTGGCCTGGCCCGGAGCAGTCCCCCGGCAGCCTATGAGGGCCCCCGCTGGCCCGCGGCCACCCCTGCCCCCCGTGCCCAAACTGTGCCGCATCAAGGCCTCCAAGGCACTAAAGAAGAAGATCCGCAGGTTCCAGCCGGCAGCCCTGAAGGTCATGACCATGGTGTGAACACAGCCACCAGCCAGCCTCCTCGTGACCCGCCACCCACCTCCTGGGCCAGCGGGTTCCCTACCTTGCCATCCTACTGGGTTGCTCTGCCTTCCCCAGCTCCATTCAAAAAGGGGTCCCCCAGGTGGGCTGTGGCCCCCGAGGACAGCTGTGAGCTCCATGGGCCGATTTCCAAGGCCACCGCAGAGATGTTGCCGAGGGCTCTGCAAGCACCCAGCTATGCGTCCTTTCGTCATTTTGTCATTTCATTTTGGGCATCTCCCCAGGGCAGGCATTTTCCGTCCTGGCCTGGGGGCTGCCGCCTTCCTCTGCCTTCATTTCACTTTGCCTGGGGGTATATTTCCCAATATTTTTAAACCTTTTCTCCCCAGAAGCATTATTTTAAAGAGAGAGTTGCAGGACTGTGCACTGGAATTTGAATTTGAACTCCATGTTAAGCTCTGGACGTGAATAAACACCCAGATTATTTCACTGTCTTTGCAAACAAAGGGAATGTGTTTTCTTTCTCCTTTGACCGCATTCCTCTCGTGTCTGGTGTGGCACATAGTAGGTGCTCAGTAAAACACTGCTCCTTCCTGTCGTGTGAACGTGGGCTAACCCCGAGGTGGGGTGTGAGTGGACTCTGACCTTTGGTTCCAATGCAGGTACGTTGAGCGTACAAGTGTTTAAAAAATAACTTGGGGTTGTTTTTTTTTTTTTTGGTTTATTTTTTCAAAGAGAGCTTCTCTCAACTCTCCAAGGTGGAAGACAGCAGGTCTTCCTGTGAATCTGACTGGCGGGTGCCGCAGCCTCTCCACTTCATGACTGAATGGTTCGAAAATCAGTCAAATTAAAAATCCTGAATGATTCAAAAGCTGCTCCAGAGGCTTCTGTGGGCCTCAAGGCAGACAACAGGGTGGGGTGGGAGGTCCTGGAGTCCCCCAGGGCTGGTGCACACTTGTCAGGAACTTCAGAAGGAAGCTGGTAAGAAAACCAGCTGAAAATACTGGTAGTTTTGTAGCAGGTTATAAATATTCCTGTAACAAGTAGCTGGGTTCAGGATGCGGTTTATAGATGAGCATTTTAGGACAGGGAAGCTGAGCTCTGAGAGGTGAGGGGAGGCTGCAGCTGCAGCCCCTGAAGGTGGAGATGGAGATGCAAAGCACTCAAAAATGCAAACATTTCACAGGCACTGGGGCAGACTTTGAAATTCAGACATTCCGTTGTCTGCGTGGAATCTCCGCCTGTGCTCATGGAATCGGCTGACCAACAGAAGTATGAGAGCCTCCTTAAGCTTTCTGAAAAGCTGCATCAAAATTTAAAGGAATATTTAAATGCGGTCACGATCGGTGGTTTTATTGTAAAGATATTACATGGGGTATTTTCTAAAAACGGTCTGGTTCACTATGCAGCACACTAGGTGCTGGGAATGGTGGCTTTGGCGGGGCCACCTAGCAGATGAGGCTGTTGGGACAGGCCTCAGGGTCTGAGCTGCGACTTTGCTAAGGATCTGGGCCCTCAGCCTCGGACCCACTTTTCACAGCCTGCAGTCCTAGCTGACCACTCAAGGAATGGCCATGAAATTCCTCTGTCATTTGACATCATCTCTAGCATTTATTGGAGCTTTTCGCACCTAACAGGCTTTAAGTGCCCTGTTTAGAAAATGCAGACGTCCCTTTCATCCTTCCTTATGGCAGATCCTGTCCTTGTATCTCAAGGATAGGAAGCTCAGGCCTTGTGCCACAGCCCGGGTCACATGCAGTCAGCATGGAGGTGGAATGCAGCACATTTGGGCTTCTCAGAGTTTTCTGACAGTGTACATTTTTCTCAGAAATCCGGGCTTGATCTCTTAACCATTCAGGCTCCAGCATGCAACGGGAGGGATCCCAGGATCCCAGCCTGACTGCACAGCCTGCAAACTAACCAGGAAAACCACACAGACTCCAGACAAAGTGCAGCCATGGCACGAGCGGGAAGAAAGGGTCCTCTGTGATCTGACAGCTCACATCAGTCAGTAGCTCTCCATGCTCTGTCTGTCCATCCATCCATCCATCCATCCATCCATCCATCCATCCGTCTATCCATCTTCTACCTTTCTCAATAGCTCTCTCTATCTCTCTTTCATTAAAGTAAACCTTTGGTGACATCTGTTAAAGAATGGTAAAGGAGACCTTATTCAGGGCCATCACTATAGATATAGGGCCATGGCAATGGAGTCTTGCAGTGAGGGAGAGAGACCGGGCTCAACTCTGAACACAGCATGGGCCAGTGGGGATTTATAGCCAAGGAGCAGAGTGGGGTCAATGCATGGAAAATTACTAAGAAACATCAGGGGCAAGGGGTATTCTGGCTAAACAAACCCAACAGGATTGTTGCTGAAGACAGGCCAGGGTGATGAGACATCACCTGGGGACGGTGGAGGATGAGGAACCTGGTCACATATTGACGGTGTCAGATATCAAGGTGTGCATTTTTTTTAAGCTGGCTTAACAGGGCTCTTCTCTAAAGCTGATGTCACAAGCAAGTGCATGGAGGGGCCCGGGAGAAGTTCCAGGAGCCTGACAAAAGTTGGCCAAGCAAAGAATCAACCTCTCTCTCTTTCTCAACTGTGGAGGCCCAGACACAGTTTCCATTTGCCCAAGACCCGAAGCCAGTGTTCTTTCATTTACTCTCAGGTAGGTTTGGAGAGACACATACAGCTCGTGTAGGTGGCATCCAGACCGCTCCATTCAGGCCTCGCTGTGAACAGGCACGTGGCCTCGGGCCGCTCCATAACCAGCCTGGGTTTAATTCCTCTCTCATAAGATGAGGCTGTTGGTACCTTAGGGTTTGGAATGGGGACACATCGACAGGGTTAAAGACAGGACCTGGACTGTGTACTCAGCACAGGGGGTGACTCGGGCAGGGCGAGGGTGAGCCAGGCTCTCTGACCCCTTTCGCACACATCCCAGCACCGTCAGGAAGGCTGGCCATGTGCTGTTGCAGGCACCAGGGCAGGCGGCAACTTTCAGAAATACTTTAAAGCACAGAGTTATAGGACACCAATGAGAAGCAGCCAATCTGAGACAGTCGGCATGGGTGCTAGATCACACGGCAGAGTCCTGAGCACGGTGACTCCAGAGCAGAGGGGATGCGAGGACAGCCAGGCGGCCAAGGCAGGACTTCACAAGGATTCAGTGAGACGTTCCACAGCAAGCCGTTTATCTACCTGAATATTTTGTGTCTTTAGTGTAGTTTTCTTCTAAACAGACATGGTCATGAGCACTCACAGCAAAGGAGAAATAAAGCAGGACGCGCAGGAAAAACGTGGCCGTAATGCAGGTGTCGTGGGGAGATGCCTCCCACACCCCTGGAGGCAACGCGCGGCCTCCGCGCCCCTCGACTGTAAAAACGCCACTTAGAATTTGACTGTTCAGGTTTTTAGAAAGCATCTGTAACTCCTCACCTGCCTGAAATAAAAATATTTTAGGAAAAAATAAAAGGATATACTTTCTGTAAGAATCAAAGTCAGGCTAAGGTAGAAATAAAATACACGAGAATTTCAGGGGCATATCTGGCTTTCCCGGTCATCCCTAAGTTGGAAGTGGGGACAAAAGTGAGGCAGCTGTCAGTTATTGATCCAGTCCGGCCATTTGGGGCTGTTGTTCATGGGTTACTGTTTAGCTCCCTGGATTGCCACTAGACATAGCATGTCGCCTCCTGCACGTCTGGCTCACAGCGGGCTGCTCTCCTGGGTTGTTTATTGGACAAGGGGATGGGTTTCTCAGGCAAGTCGTGCAGGTGCTGGTCAGAGTTCTCTTTTCATATGTGGTCCGGCCACTGTCCTTGTGTATTTTCAGGCCCTCAGGAGCAGGGGGAAAACACAGTTAGATCTGTGTTCAGAAGGACCCATTGTCAGGGCAAAGGCCCTGGTTCCAGGTGAGGGGCCTGAGCCAGGGTGGTGGCAGTGAGGACCGGGTGCCCCCATGAGAGGTACTGAGCAGGTGCCGTGAGGAGACACATGACTCGAGGCTGCTCTGTGCTTCCGGAAGCCTCTGTCTCCTGCCATTGTCCCACACCTCAGAGCCACAGAACTCAGAGACACTGAAGAGTCTGTTCAACGTCATTTATCCCCAGGAAGAAGTGAGAATTCTTATTGAAATAAGAATATTCTTATAGAAATACTGCTCTAATAGTCTTTTAATTTCCATTTGCAAATTTTTTCATTTCATTTTACCTCTATTTTTATTTCTCTTTCAGCTGTAGTCTCCTAACCGTGGACAGAATCCACACCATACAACACATAAAATCGTTCATTTTAATGTAACATTTAATGCATTTCATTTTCGTTAAGAATGATTTCTCCATCTTCATGCCCTCCTCCTATCTGGGGCTACATTTGGGGATTTCACATCTCGGTTGCTGTGATGCACGTTACATCCTGGGTGACAGGTGATGGTGGGTGGCATCTCCAATTCAGTGACAGTAATAGCATCAGCCCTTGCTAATGCTGTGACTCAGCAGAGACTCGTCACGACTCAACAGAGACTCATCACGGCTCCATGTTCCCGAAGTTTGAAACTGCAGTTTAAATCTGTTCTGACAATATCCTCTTCGATGGCAGTAATGTCAAAGTGAAAATGAGAAGGAAAGAAGAAAGAGAGCGTATGCTGACGTCTGGAAGATCAGAAGACTGTGACAACAGGACCATGTGAAGCCCACAAAGCATCTACATGCCAGTGCTGTGCAAGCAGCCTCTTTCCCTGCTCTCTCCATCAGGGACAAGTCACTGGGCCACCTGTGGTGAACGCAGGTGTATCAGTGATGCCTGGTGCTAAACAGCTGATCCTGCTTGCCCAAAGGACAGGGCCAGTCCTCAGCAGCACCATCCCCTCTGCTTGGACGGGTCTGGTGCTGACTGGTTGTTAAGACACTCAGCAGTTCTCTGAGACCCCGCAGCACATCCAGCGTGCGAGCTCTAGGAAAGCACACCTGAGGGTGCCTCCCTGAGGTCTGTCTGGCAGTCCATCTTCCAGTTTGCTGG